CATACGTTTTTCAAGTCAACACATACTGAAGCTTTTAACAAATTGCACAAATGTTGATTTTATGTGTCAACACATACTAATTTCAGGTCGATACATGTACTACATTTTTAAAGCTTGTAGCCTATGACATGCTTAGGTTGACACATATGTTTTTCAGGTCGACACATGCAGTTATGATTTGACTTATGTGTCGACACATATAATTTTCAGGTCAACGCATATTGTTTGATTTTGCCAATTTTTTAATTCTTTTTAATTCTGAAAATCTCCTTTTTGCATCTAAACTTCCACAATTATAAATACAACATTCGTGCATCATTCCAACTTGATGATACCATAAAATTATCCTATATTTTATCTCCATCTTAACCCTCCAATCTATGCATACATACTAGCATTACATTGAGATTTATAGGGGTCTTCATCCGAAAAAATTGCAGGTTTGTCCTCCAAGATCATTGGTTGAAATGGGGATTTTCGTGTAAGACGTTCAAAGAGGTGATTGCGGTTAAGTGAAATCCTTTGGAGATAAATAATGCAAGGGATTATTTGGATATAAAGAACACAAAGGAAGTAGCGTGAGAAAGACATATCACAATTGAAGTCTTGTGTTTGCAATAGGTAATTTGATCGTTCGTGTGCGAAAGCTTTGGAGATAAAGAATGCAAAGGAGTAGAAATACCAACAACTCAATTGGGAATTATTGTGTGCTTGATCTTGTTGAAGATCAAAAGAAGAGAAGAGGTTGAATCAACATCAAATGATTATGATTTGTAGGGTTACTCTTGGAACACTTCTCTTGTATTCATACTTTTTACAAAGTAAGAAAGTATCCTAATTCCACATTGGAATTGTGCGCAAGCATACCCACATGCAAGGACGAAAGTGGGAAACTATGTAGACAAATACCTGTGTCTCTTTTCTTTTATTGCTTTACTTGCTTTAATTTTCATGCATCAATTTGTCAAATAGCATTGAGTAATTTATCGATGCGTAGGAATTTCCAAGGTTGTTTTTGTTTTGAATTGTGTGTTGAGTTGCTTATAATCATTTTTTATTATATGTTCTTTTTGTTACCAACACAACACACGGGAAAATTATGAAAATTTGATTGCACACCAAATGTTTGACGAATTGTTTAACCTGTTCAACTCAAAGGAAAATTGCAATGTTCTATCTCTTACTATATATATGCAATTTGTTGAATGTATTGTTTGATCAATTGATTCGTATATAATTTTTATTTGATTGTTAAATTTTAAAATGCTTTGTTGTTTAGCTTATGATAAATTTGATTATAAGTGCTTTTTCATATCAATAAAGCTCAAAGAAAATTATGAAAAATTGATTGTGCGCCACATGTTCGATAAATTATCAAGTTATATTTTTAATATGATTTCATTGGAAATAAAAAACCGTTGTGTTTGATGTTTAAATATTAATTGAGATATTATTATGTTTATTGTTTTTATCATTATCTTAATTATATATGGCTTGTGCATATCCGAGTTTCCAATAACTAGGCTCGTTTAGACTACTATTTTGATCTAGGCTAATAAACCTTCCGCTCAACATTGTTTTTCAAATATTTTTTTAAGTAACCGTTTTGAAATGTTATTTTTAATATGGGAATCTATTCACCCTCCATCTATATGATTTGATGTAGTCTAACATTTTGAAGATACACCTACATCATGACAAAATACTTTTTCCGACATTTCTAGGATAAGAAGCATTAAAAGTAATTTACACATCTTTTACCAATTAAAGAACACTAGTTGTTGAATTCCTAGGTCACACATCCATTCTTCATTGCCATGAAGTCAATGAAATAGGGAAATATCACTTGTTATATGTCTTGAGCATCCACAAACGATAACTCATATTCTCTTCATAAAGCCAAGACATTTATCCTGCAAGATCAACAAGAAATGCTAGGTACCCAATCTTAATTTGGTCTTTGAGGGTTAGTGAAACCTTGGTTTCATTTAGGAAACCATTGTAAAATACCTTTAGGAACTAGAAATCTTCTAAATTTATATTTTGCAATGGTGTGACCTTTTATACAAAATAATAGTGACAAGCCAAATCATGAAGAGAGGAACTTTTTCCATATGATTCCTTTTCAACAAATTTATACCTTCTATAAGGATTATCAGGAGACATTTTATATTTGGTAGTATCAATAGAAAAAATGACCTTTGATTCTAGAGCCTTGTTTAATTTAGCCTTTAGAGTTCTAACCTCTTTTTGCCAAATGTGACAAGTCTCACAACTGAACCAAGAGGGTTCTTCATTCTCATCTTGTACTTTTGAAAATTTACCATAGATTGCTTTAGAGCTTCCATTTTCTTTTCGGTTTCTAAAATCTTAGCTTCTAAGTATGAAAGGATATTTTTATTTGAAGTTAACTTTTTAAAATCATCTATTGTTTCTCTATGTAGATTTTCAAAAGCTACTTGTAAATCAGAATGAGATAATTTATCAACATGTTCATATTTAGAATGACTTACATTTCTTTTCTTTCTTTTTTTCACGATAATGGACCGAGAGACAAACATTTGTCGATTCTCTATTATTTTTTTTCTTGAACCTTCATCACTTGAGGAATCACTATCACTTTCCTAAGCAATATAAGCTCTTCTAGATTTTCTAGAATTATTGTGTTGACCCTTTTTCTTATCTTTGTCAAGAAATGGACAATCTGATTTATAAAGACCAATTTACCTACAATTGTAACATGAACCTTTTAATTTTCCTTTCTTATTATCATATTCCTTTGAGAAGCTTGATTGTATTTGAAATTTGATGAGGTTTTTGTCGGAGTGCTTTACTCCATTTCTTCTAGTATACCTATTGTACCTTTTAACAAAAAGCTCCATTTCTTTATCACCAGAATACTCGTCGTCACTTGTTTCAATATCACTTTTCTCATTTGTTGAGAAACTTGAACTATAAGCCTTTAGAGCAATGGACTTCTTTTCTATCTTCTTTTATTTTCCTTTCTCCTTCTTTAGCTTATTCTCATGCTTTTTCTCGTGAGAATTGTTGTCACCCAATATTTTCAATCTATCCTCCGTCTCGCGCTACTCCTTTACAAGAACCTCCGTTTTTCAAACCTTTCACTCAGCTGAATCTGAATTGCAAAATTTTCTACAAAACCCCCAAATCAATACCTTGATATTGGTGGACAAACCCTATGGTTTTTCCAGATGAACACCCCCAAATATTCTCAACCCAATTTACAATTTATAAACCTAAATTGGATGTTATCAACTCTGAATCTAGATGGCACCCAAACAAAGAATAATTATGTGTGATTTATTTGTGTGTATGCATAGACTATGAACAGTTGAAGATGAAGAGCAATACTTTGTATGTTTACGGTTTCATCAAGTTTCAAATGATGAAGTTCATGTTTCAAAAATTCAAGGAGTTCATATGGCACGAATAACAAACTTCCAGACTCCAGAAGCAAAGTGGAAAAAGTCCATTCACTCCAACATATCATAACTGCGAAAAGAAAGGACATATCAAACCAAAATGTTTTCTACTCAAAAAGGAACATTAGAAACCCAAAATAAATCAGAAGAAAAATAAAGCATGTGGAGACAGTGACATGGAATCCTCAAATGATAAAGTGGAAAAAGCCAACATTTGTTTAATGACAAAACATTAGGAAGATAAGGTAACCTCTAAATTTTCTTACAATAATTTACTTAAAGTATGTAAGGAATTATATGATGAAACAATTGTCGCACCGCGAAAAATGGACAACAAAGTCACTACCGAACTTTATTTATTCCAAGAGGAAAGGGAAAATATCGAGAAAACCCCAAAAGGTGAAGAAAATTTGTCTCACAACCAAATCCGGGTTCGGAAGTTGATTATGTGAGTGAAAGATATTAGCACCCCACACATCCGTTGTACTCAACAGAATCTACTTTGTTTGTTTGTTTCTAAGTATTTTGTTATCCAAAGTTTTACTTGCTATGAATGATGAAGGGAAAAAAATAAGTTTTACAATAGTGTGCTTGCCTCGGTTTTGAAACCTCGTGCCTTCGTATCCTCATAGTACAATAAGGAAATCAAAGCCTCGTAGTTCATCTAGAAAAAAATTGTTTGTTGGTTGTTTTTAGTGGATGATGTTACACTCACATTCTAGCAGTTAGGCATTGTCGCTCGTACTTTGAGACTTACGCATTGTCTGTATTATGGTAGAACGGAAGTAACATGTCCTTTCTAAAAAGAGTTTGAGTTTGCATGCCCTTCGACGGAAAAAAAAATTTGATGAGTTGTGATTGATTTTTAGGGGCCGTATAGTAAATGGTCCCCCATGTGAGAGGCACTTAGCTACACAAAGAACCGCGAAGAATACACCATCGGCTCCTTTTCCTCCTTTAATTATGAATGGAAGAGAACAAGGATAGGAAAACACCCTCGAATTCTTTTTCATTTCTTAAGGTTCGTGTACGATCCACATCATAATTTTAAGAGTATTTTGATATTTATTTACAAAAAAAAGAAAGTTTTTGTTTTAATGCAAAAATGATGAACAAAAGAAGGGAATTTCTTCTAATGTTGTCATACAAAGGTGGATCTAGAATTAGAATTTTGATGGAGAAAAATAACTAAAGTTGTCATTCATAATTTACACCTAAGTCTACCTCTAATTCAATTTAATCAAGTTGAATAACCTAATTAAATTGAACTAAAGAATACCTCAGGGAACATAAAAGTTATAGGTGAAAAATCACAAAGATTCAAACATCAACATCATACAACAATTACACCATAAATTGCAACAAAACAATGACATAAAAATGGTACAAAAAGGTGATCAAAATGATAGAAGAAGAAAAAAATCCTCAATTAATTCTAAAAAAAAAAGCATTCACTAAATATATGATATTTTCATGGTCTTTTATTATGTCAAAAAACAACTATAAGGAAATAAAAAAATAAGTGAAATAAAGCAACCAGGGGATACAGGCCAGAAAATGGTGTTTGGCCTAGAAGAAAAGGCGCTTGGCCCAAGCAGGGGCCCAGGATGGTGCTTTATAGTCATGCTTCAGTTTAATCAAAAAAAGTGCATGACATTAGGCCAGACAGCGGGTGTGAGAAGAAAAGGGATCTGAGGCCCAATCCAAGTCAATTCACTCAATTCAGATTTATTAGATTTTATTAAAATAAAAATAAATGGAAAAAAGAAGAAAAAGATTAAAAAAACAGTTGTTTAGCTTATGACTGTTGGAGTATTTTTAAGATCAACTTAGCCTTTGCCCCCAACGTTCTCTTTCTCAGAAACCCGAGAACTTCAAGAATATGAAGGTAATATTAAGCTTCCTAAATCTCTTCTTCTTCTACACTCTTTTTCGTTTCTCTATGTGTTGTTGTTGTGTGTGTAACAGAGAGAGCGATGTAGTAGAGTGAGAGAGAAATTTAGAGAGAGTGTTGAGATTTGGTACTTGAGAGATGGTGCGTTGTAGAGGGTTGAGAGAGGATGAAGGAGTGTGGTTGAAGATGAGAGTTGCAGAGAGAAAATATGTGAGAAAATGATGAGGATTGATGAGTGATTTCTGAGGTGAATGATGGTGAATGTAGCGTGAAATAGAGTTAATTAGATCAAACTCACCGAGTTCATCGTGAACTCAGTTAGTTATTCACCAACTCAGTTTGTTAGGGCATGAGCTGAGCTGGATTCAAAGGAGTTAGCTCTGATTTTATTTTTCAGTTTCAGCTTTAATTCCTCTTCTTTCTGTTTTCGGTTTTTCCTAGTTTTTTTTGTGTTGAACTGATTGAAGCTGAGCTGGCAATGTTATTTGGATGCCCTTCAATTAGTTTTTTCTGATTTTTGTTGTGCAGGGCATGGTTATGTGAAGTTAGAAATGGTTTGATGAACTTTGGCCTTCTGATTTTCTGTTATGACAAGCTTTTAATTCAAATGTTTTCTTCTGCTGGTTTATTAGCTTTCGAAATCGTTTATGCATGTGAAGGCTTAAACTGAACTGTGTGCCAAAGTATCATGGTTGCGAAATTGGTATTAGCATGGTTGATTTTTTGTGTCATGTAGGTCTGTTATATGAACATGTGCAGGTCACAATTCACTTGTAAGTCAGATAGTTTAAGACACGTTTGAAGGACATGAAAACTGGTTTTGCTGATGAATTTAATATGGTGTAGGGCACAGTTAAAATCTGTTAGGTGTTAGTATGGGATTGTATTAAGTGTATCATATATGCAAAGCTAGGATTCATGAACTGATGGTAATTTATGAAAGCTTGGATATGAGTCTACCTTATTGTATGCTAGGTGAATATCATGTTGAATGATGATATATGTGCTTGATGGCATTAAATATGTTCTGATGCAATTATTACTTGGCTTTGCAAATGTCCATGTGTGTGTTAGGTGTGCTCATGTTAGGACATGTATTTAAATGTAATTTTCTTTGTGGTAATGTGATGGTGCATAGGTTGGATTGTGTGGGTATGGCATAACATGAACTGATGCAAAAATCATGATGTTCCCTGCAGGTTGCAAGTTCTGGTCTGCAAGTGGTGAGGTCTTGGGCATAGCACGAGGCTTGAAGAAAAATAGGACATTGCAGGTCCATTTTCATAATGGAGGTTAAACTGAAGACAACATGAAGTCACATGGGGAAGATGATGATTAGAGTAGGAATAAATCCAATTAGAAATCTCCATGATACAATGGTGTAATGGTATAGTGGGATATATCTTGTAATATGTAATGAAATGGTTCCTTCTCTTTTTCAAATAGAAATCGATTTTCTTTTTTTCACTCTATTGCATTCAAATTGCCGGAAACAGCCTCTCTGTTATAAAAACAGGGATAAGACTGCGTACATTCGACCCCTCCAGAACCCATAAAATAGGAGTCTCGTGCACTGAATCCCTTTTTTACTCTATTGCATTCAAATTCAAGTCTTTCTCCATTTTCACTTTGTACGAATTTGATCAACCAAAAGCACCCATAATGTATCTATAAGGAAATGAAAAAAATTCAATATGGCTTGATGCACAAAAGTAAATAACTTGGCAAATGTATCTTGATGTACTTGCGATGAAGCTTGAGTTTTGAATCCTCTTTGGAAACGCTTTTTTCTTATAATATAACCGTGCTCAAATGCAAATTGAAAAATCCTCATGAAATATAAATGTTCAAGTTGACTTCGCTTACAATGTGTTGACTTTGTGATGACTTGGCTTTCAAGGAACAAAGAAAACTCCATCTTTCTCTTCATCCTCAGTTAATTATAACTTGAATGAGCCCTAATTTTTCCCTTAATATCACTACTTTAGATGTTTGAATATCTTCAAATGAATGATTTGTGGTTCCCTCCTTGATCTCATCAAATTGAATGAACCCATTAGTGAAAGCCCAAAAATCTATGCATAAAATCCAATAAGAAGACTTATGACCCAAGCAATGAATGAGGTCCTTTGAATGATGATCTTCACTAATGAATCAAAACTCCATAAGAAACCCTCTTGATCAACACCTAAATAGGGAAATAAAACATAACTCAAGTAGCAATTGCAAGCACAAGAAGATGTTCCTCAAGAACTTCCATGTTTAAGCTCAAAGCCTGTTGAATGAAATCTTGTAGAATGCATTGTATCACTAGTAATGATGAAGCCATCTCATGTGATGAGTTAGACCCGAGTGTTGAGGATAAGAAACTCCCGATGATTGCATAAACAAAACCTTAAGGGCTCATCTGATAACCATAAGGACAAGGAACAAACCCTAATACATGATCAAGGGATCCTTAGTTGGAACAAGCCCGCATAGGTAATGAAACCCTAATTCCATGTGAAACCCTAATTCTCCATGACCATTGATCCAAATACCAAGCTTATTGTTTAATGAATGCATGAGATGTTGATGACCTAATGGAAGATATGTATATGAAGAATGAGAGGTATAAGCCATATGGATTGAGGAGTAGGACAAATTTGGGTTATGACAACAACCAAACTTGAAAAAATCAGTTCAACATGAAATGATAGAATTTCAGTTCTCGAAACTAAAAATAAAGCTCTAGAAAAAGAACTAAGAAGTCATAGAGAAAATAAAGAATAGGTTAGACAAGATCCTTTACTTCAAAAATAGACACATGTAATGATTGCAACATATTGAAAGATGAAGTTTGCAACCTTCAAAAAACTCTTGTTAAATTCACCAATGGAAGAGATAATCTAGAAGTACTGTTAGGAAATCAAATAGCCTCTTACAATAAAGCAGGATTAGAATATAAACCTAAGAATAATAGTAAAAAATTTAGCAAAATTTGCAATGCCAAACCAACATGAAATGCAAGACCCTAAAATGTAATTATTGTAATAAATATGGACATATTTCTATGTTTTTTTATCAAAAAGATTCATGAGAGCAAAAAAGGATATCCTCCTTCATACTTTTATAAAGAACATTGCAAACGTAAAAATAGAAAAAAGTTTACTACTAATATCAAAGGGCCCAAAAAGATATGGATACCAAAAGTAGAAAAGTAAGTTGTGATGCAGATGATGTTACCAACAATTGCTCCTCAAATAACACAAATGAAGAAAAAATATGTTCTACTGTGTCACTCCTACAAGGAAAGAAATCTCTTCACTTAATAACAAAAAAATCATTGATCTTTGAGTCTTAGTAAAATCCCTATTCTTAATCTTTAGATGTCTTTATTATTTATAGCGTTATCACACAAGTTACTTAATATTAAGTAAGATATGTAACAAAGGTAATAAAGTATCTGTATTTCTTCTATATGCATTATCAATAAAAATATTAATGTAAAATCATTTTAAAACCACTTTTAAAAAGTACCATGACTATGTAAGAACTCATACATATTAATTTTGGTAAACTAACCCCTAATAGGAAGAACTATAGGTTGTTGCTTTTGCAAGTATCTCATAGATAGCATCGTTGGAAGATAACAATCAATGAAAGAAAATTGTCAAAAAATCCAAATGAAGAAACTCAAGAATTCTGCCTAAGAATCAATGTCTAACTAAAGAATGAAGGACCGTTAAGAACCATCTTATGTTAATTTCAAAAAGAAATACAACTTAACACTTCCTTAATATAAAAGTTACTGAAGATAAGAGAGCTTCATGAAACATCTATGGCATACAAAAATAAGTGATTACACGTGTCTTCATGTTATCTCATAAAGGATGTTATCAAGGTATTCACATTAATAGTGAACCAACTCTCGTATTAAATGATTCATAAAGAAGGAAAATCGACTTTATCTTGAAAGTGGAAGTCACTCAAGTTACCTTGAGGTTTTAAGGTAGTACACTTAATAGAGATTGAAAAATCAGAAAAAATCTTATTGATGCTCTATTAAGTGATTTATTAACATCTTAGTCAATTATATTTATTTTCTACTAACCTATGGTTAAGATGTTTTGGAGCAAAGAGATACCAAATATAATATGCCTAGGGTCCTGCATTAACTAAAGTCCAAAGGAGGATGAAATGAAATTATCCAAAAGATTTCCTAAAAACGGTGTGAGTGAAACTTTCCTCAAGATATGTTTTACATGATGTCAAAACTATAAGAATATATCATTTATGTATATTTTGTGGTATCTTTGACTTTGGGTGGCACCCTACGCATTTAAAAGTCTTAGGAATCATTTGAAACATATTCAAAATTGACCCAGTCTCAAAAAATCATTTTCTACACTAAAAATGCATTTACAGGTCGGCTCATAAGTCATTACAGGCCAGAACATGTACTGTCCTGGATAAGTTGTTTTCTTCTGTCTTGGTCAGGCCGACTCATAAGTCATTTCAGGCCGGCTCATGTACTGTCCTAGATAAGTTATTTTCTTTTGTTTTATTCAGGTCGACTCATAGGTCATTTTAGTTCGGCTCATACTATTAAAACTAACACTATGAGTCAGCTCATCCAAGCTACAGGCTGACTCATATTGTTTCAAGATTCAAAATTTCTATTTTCTTTTAATTCAGAATTTCCCTCTTTTTCCATAATATTTCCATAACTATAAATACATCTTTCATGGATCATTCCAACATGATGATACCATAAAAATTTCCTACAATTACTCTTCACCTTCAACCTCCAACCTATGCATACACACTAACAAATCATTGTAACGATCTTTTGTTGGGTTTCTATCTAGACAAGGTTCGATAATGTCCAACTAGGTTTTTGTGTAATCGAGAATATTAGGTTGAGATTCGCAGGAGTCTTCATCCAGAAAAACCGCAAGTTTACTCTCCAAGATCATTGATTGATTTAGGGGTTTTCATGTAAGACTTTCATAAGAGAATTGTGGCCTAGTGAAAGCCTTGGGAGATAAAGAATGCAAAGGATCCTTTGGAGATAAAGAACGCAAAGGAACTAGCGTGAAAACAACAAATCAAAAGTGAAGTCTTGTGTTGCAACAATTGAAATTGGTGATGCGCGAAAGCTTTGGATATGAATTATGCAAAGGAGTAACAAGATCCAGATAATCAATTTAGAGCTATTGTGTCTTGGTCTTTCTCAAGATTAAAGGAAGAGAAGGGGTTGAATCAACAACAAATGTTGGGGTTTGTGGAGTTGCTCTTGGAACACTTCTCTTGTATCAAACTTTTTGCATAGTTGATAAGTGCAAATTGTAGCTATTTTGTATATAATTTTTGTTGCACTTATCGACTCTTTGTTGTTAATATTAGTTGAATAAACCCGACTTTTGTATAAATACATTTAGTTTGTGTATATTTGCGTTTTCATGTACATAGTGTATCGTTTGATAGTTTTGTATTCATTTTTGTAGGTATTCAAGCATTATTGGAGCATTGAGAATAAAGTCTAAATGGAGCTCCAATATCTGCATTTGATCAATAAAGGAATAAGGCAAAATAAGAAAAGCCATTGCATTTGTGCAGAGAAAGCAACAAAAGTTGTTGTTCTGGTGTGCGCCGCTGGGAGATGATGAGACGAGAGGCCATCGCGCCTATGTCACCGGGCGACGGAGGGCCAAAAAGAATGGATCAATTTTCCAGTATCCACTGACTTGGGCTCGCCAGCAGCTCGCTAGGCGAGGAAGCATAGTGTCTCTAGTCTAAGCTTTCCTTCACCGGGCGAGAGTATATATTTTTCTCCAGTTGTGTATGTGGCGTAGGCTGGGCCGTGTAAAATAAGGTCGTCGTCGGGAGACGTGTTTGGCTCGTCGAGCGAGCGTTGTAGGACAAAATTTTGTATTTATTTAATTTCCATTTCATTTGTTAGGGTATGAGTTTGGGGATGATTTTATCTCCCAAATTCACCAAACCTCATTTTTCACTAGGATTAACTTAGAAAACATCTATGAAGCTTGCATACAGATGATCCGGTGTGGATTACTCTTTGATCGGCGCTGACAAACCGGGAGATTTGTGGTTCATTTTTCTTCTTTGTGTATTCTTTATTTGTTGGGTTTTGTATATGTGTTTACTGTGAACTCGTGTATATTTGTTGCCCATGGAATTGTATAAAGCTTGCTTTACAAATCTTTATCAATTGTTATCCTGGATCTTTGCTATGTCT